TCCAGGTTTTCCCCCACGCTGAGGGGACACCTGCTCTGAGGACACCGTGGGGTGACAGTGACTGGAACAGGGGAGAGGCTGGGGCTGTCACCCTGTCCCTCCCAAGGGAATAAAACCCTCCAAGGGCAGAGAGCTCCCTCCTTCCTCCCTGCTCAGCATCCCCCGGGTGCTTTTCTGGGTTGGGAGCCCTGGAGCAGCCCAGTCCCACAGCAGAATTCCATCCTTTTATCCACCATGGGCAGTAGTGCTCTGCCACCAGGGACACCACAAGAACGAGCAGAGATGTTCTCTCTGCCACCTGGCTCTGGTCAGGGAGCTCTGGCTGCCCTCCCTGATGGAAGCAGGATTGCCCGGGGCTGCTTTTTGTTTCAGGACTCCTGGAGGGTTCCCTGGTCAGAGCGAAGCCAAGGCTGGAACACACAGGGGACGCAAAGGCAGCGCTGTCACCCTGCCCTGCCCTGCTCCCCTCACACGGCCCCAGAGCAGCAGAGTGTCCTCACCCACCCTTCCAAACCCCATCCATGGCAGGGACACCTCCCACTGCTCCCAGCCCCAACATCCAGCCCGGCCTTGGGCGCTGCCAGGGATCCAGGGACAGCCCCAGCTGCTCTGGGCACCGAGCACTGAGTGTCCTGCTGCTGCTCTCAGGCTTGTGGGGACCATCAGCTTAAAGATCCCAGAGTCATTTTCCCTGGGTGAGGCTGAGGGATCCCTGGAGATTTTTGTCTTCTGGGATCTGTGCTCCTCCTCCACACATCCTGCTCCCTGCCAGGGTTTTTGCTCTCCTGTTATTTCAGGCACTGGCTTCTGATTAAATGCTCGTGATCTGAGCCCTGAGTGGTGCTGTGATCCTGGGGAGGGGATGTTCCACAGATCCACAGGAGATGTTCCACAGATCCAGGGGAGGGGATGTTCCACAGATCCACAGGAGATGTTCCACAGATCCACAGGAGAAGCTGTTCCACAGATCCAGGGGAGGGGATGTTCCACAGCCCTCCTGCTCAGCCCTGCCCTGCTGTGGGGTCAGGCACACACTCAGATCCTCTCCTGATGGAAGTCCTGTGGACAAGGGACTGTTTCCCTGTCAGAAGGATCTCCCACAGGTTTGGAACATCCTTACCCAGAGCCAGCCAGAGGAAAGGATTTCTGTGGATTTCTGTGGATTTCTGTGGATTTCTGTGAACACAGAAAACCCTGAAAAATCCAGACAATCCACAGAAAATCCTGGTCTCCAGAACCAACCTTTCAGGCAGAGAAACCCAAGTTCTCCCTGTGTCCAGCTTGAACAGGTGAATTTGTGCCTCATCCAACTCCAGCTGGGGGTTCTTTTTAGCAGGAATCCTCAAAAACACCCCCCAAGGCAGAGCAGCAAACAGAATGGAGCTGGCAGCCACCGAGGCCGTGCTGCTACTTGGTGACACCCGCAGTGCCCATAAATCCTCTCCACACCTGAGCCTTCCCCGACGCCTTCCAGCTGTTCCCGAGGATCCTTTTTTGGGTCCTTTTCCCCAAAGGCACATGTGGTTCTTTGTTGGGAACTTTATGGTGATTGAAATGACCTCTCAGTCCTGGTAAATTAAAGCAAAGGCTGCAGCCAGCACAGGAAACAGCTGGGGAGAGGATGCTGGAAGGGATTTCCATAAAAGCCAATGATTCATGGAAATGTTCAGTGAGCGGGGTCAGCCTCGGGCTCCTGGGGAGTTTCTTCCCAGTGAGATTCCCGAGCCAGCCCTGCCCCACCCGGCATTCCCGAATTCCCAGCCCCCAGCACCAGCCTGGAGAGGAGCAGAGGGAACTCCCAAAATCCAGCCTGGGGGATGCTACAGCCCCAGTTTCTGCTGCCAGTGAAATGCTGCTCAGCTGCCCTGGATGGTGTCAGGAGAGGACAATTCCTGTGTCACAGGACACTGGGAATGGCTCCCAGTGCCAGAGGGCAGGGCTGGATGGGATTTTGGGCAGGAATTGTTCCCTGGGAGGGTGGGCAGTGCCTGGCACAGGGTGCCCAGAGCAGCTGGGGCTGCCCCTGGATCCCTGGCAGTGCCCAAGGCCAGGCTGGAAGGGTTTGGAGCCCCTGGGACAGTGGGAGGTGTCCCTGCTGTGGATGGGGCAGCACTGGAGGGGATTCAATGTCCTTCCAACTCAGCCCAGTCTGTGGGGATGATGATGGTGATGGTGAAGGACATTTGGGCAGGACAGAGTGTGATCCTCCAGCAGAAAGAAGAACCTGCTGCATTCCGTGGCTCTCCAGGATCCTTTCCTTGTGCTCACCAGGTTCCTTCCAGGACTCTTTCCCCAGAGCTCGAAGCAGGTCCTGCTCCCTGGAGCCTGCCCAAACCAAACCACTTCCCATGGCCCATAAATCAGGAGCTGGAAAATCCCCTTTGGGGCACTGGCTTCAGCCTCTCCTGCAGCACAGGGCTGCTCCAAACAGGACATTTTCCATGGATTTTCCTGCAGCACAGGGCTGCTCCTATCATTTTCCATGGATTTTCCTGCAGCACAGGGCTGCTCCAAACAGGACATTTTCCATGGATTTTCCCCACCCACTTTGAATGACTCAAGCACGGGGCTCTGCTGCTGCCCAGGGTTCCTCCCTGGCTGCCCCTGCAGGGGAGGGCATTTTCCTCTCTCCCCCACCGAGACTTTCCCACATGTCAGCCCTTCCCTCCCCTCTGCTTATTCCCCCTTTCCCTGAGGTTTCCCACCCTGTGCTCATTCACCAGTGCCTGAGTCCTGCTGATCTCTGTAGGGAACAGAAGGATCCCAGGGCCTGGGAAAGTGGGGAAGTGGCTTCAGAGACACCCTGGGTCTCCATCCCCTGAGGGGGCACCTGGGCCCATCCCTGGGTTCCCTGGGAAGGAGCAGAGTCCCAGCCTGGCACTGAGCCTGTCCCAGCTTGGGTGGGATCACTGATGCAGAGCCAAGGAGAACAGTCCATGGGAGCTGCCATGACCTGGGAACAGCTCCCAGGGCAACACCACATGCTCCACACCAAGTATATTTCTTTATATTAAAATTATAATTAATTATAACTAATTATTACTATCACTTATATTAAAATCCCCTCAAGATTAATCTCAGGCAGTGCCCTTTTTCTTATCCCACCCAAGTGAGTTCTGTCCTGTGAGGATGAAACCCCTGGATTAGTGTTTCACACCATCACAGCTGTTTGGGGTTTGTTCTTCCTTCAGCAGGACAACCTCAACCACCTGTAACCACCGAGGACAAAATCCAACAGGGAATTTTCATGATGGAAATAAGGGCCTGTTTTAAATAACTAAAAAAGCAGCAGTGGGGGGTTGTCTGAGAAAGGAAATTTCCCCAATTTCATTATCCTGCTCTTATTTTGGTATTGAAAATGCACAGCACAAAGGAAGACAGGCAGGTTTTTATTCTGATTAATACATTTTAATGATCTGTGGCATCGGTTTCTATTTCCATGCACTTTTAACACTGCTTAGGAACTAAGTTGCTTTTTCCTGCAGTCCAGTTTCTTCTTTTGTAGAAAAACTCCATCTGCAAGGCACAGTCGGGATCCCAGATCCTACACACACCTCAGAGCAAGGTCTAGTGATGATCCCAGCTTTGGTTTGTGGTATCCCAGCGGGAATGAAGTGATATCCATGGCAAGCTGTGCATGGCCAGTGCTGATCCCATCTCTTGCTGAAGGAGCAGCAGGACCAGAGGCTGAACATCACATTCTGGGCAACTTCAGGTGGGAAAAGGATGAGCCACACTGAGGCACAGGCTGAGATTCCATGGCCTCCTCTTGTCCCTGGTGACCTGGGAGCAGGGATGGATCCCCCAGCAAGGTGAGCAAGGAGGGGTTTGGCCGTGGGTCGTGGCTGGGGCTCACACAGAGCATCAGAACCATCCCAGCAGCCCCATTTCCCTGCCTGGCACAGGGATTGATCCCTCCTGGGAAGGCTCAGGCCTGGAGGAGCTCACTCCAGAGCAGGCAGCACCCCCAGCCCTGCCAGGGGCAAACTGAAGCCTTCCAGTGCCATGGGATGTTTTGTCCAAGGGAAGGGCTGGAATGCTGCCACAGCAGGGCAGGATCCACAGGGACAGGCTTGTCTGGGCTGGAGCTTTGTTTGGCTTTGCCACGAGTCCTGGAGTGCAAGGTCCCTGACACCACTCCTACAAGAACTTCCTGCAGGAAGTTGCATTTCCTAAAATTTCAGGGCTGTAATGAGGTATCCTTGTCCTCTGTGGCATTTTGTGCTGCTGCCTTTCATCCCACCATGGAAAACACTTGGTAAACTTTCCTTGACATGGTGGGATTGGTTAAATTCTTTTCAAAGCCAGTAAAAAAGGGTCCCTGACGTTTCCATATTTTGTTTATTGCTTAGCAGCAGGAGCTCTGGGTTCTGGGAGGGAGGGGGAGAAGGGAAATATTTGTTCTGGACTTGGTTTGGATGCAGGACCTGGCCACTCCCTCATGCCAGAGCCATGATCCCGTTCCTGCTCCTGTGATTTTACTGCTGCTCCTCCCTGGCCACGCTCCCCCTTTACTCCAGCTGCTCCAGGACACAGACAGGGCGACAAGAGCCCAGGGTTGAAGTGATGGAATCGTGGAATCACAGACTGGTTTGGGTTGGAAGGGACCTCAAAGCTCATCCAGTTCCCTGTCCCAGGCTGCTCCAAGCCCCATCCATCCTGATCCTGTGATTCTGGGCCATTATTCCCTGCCCAGAGCCTTGGAATGGGATGAACTCTAAGGTCCCTTCCAACCCAAACCTTCTGGGATCCAGGGATTCTCTGATTTCAGTCCCACTCATTGAAGATGTGCTGCTCTTTGTGCTCCACTTGGAGAGACTCTTTTTACTTTTCTCACCTTGAAATTGCACCCAGCATTTAATTACACCATGAATAAATTAATGGGCAGATAAAAGTTATTGCATCAAAAATAAATTAAATGTAACTGGATTTTAAATGGTAGGAACGGATGAGTTGGGCAGGTGTTCTTTGGAGGCCGGGATGGTTTCCAGGAGGAGCTGTCAGAGCTGGCTCGGCCGGCGCCGCATCCCGGCGGGGACCCGGCTGCGGGGCTCGCTCAGCGGGGCCGCCCTTCCCTTGACGGGATCCAGGGATTCGTGCCGGAGGCTCCGGGCAGCCCTGGCCGTTCCCGAGGGCCCGGAGAGGCGGAGATCCCCGGCCGGGAGGGTCCCGCTGAGCC